TGTACCTCCATTTGATCCTTTGCTCTATTATGCAGTTCATTTCTGATCTCTCCTGTCTTTATTTCCTGATCCTTCAGATGAAAATTCCACTGCAGCCTATTAGTCCTCCCTTTCTTCACCTCCCCACAAAGTTTTAAATTTTTTTTTGAGTAATTTAGGGCTATAACTGCATTTGCTGAATCCTACATCCTTCTCACATCTTTGGTAGTGAAGCCACAGTGTGAAAAGGATGCTAAAGATTGTGAGAAGTGGTTAGATGCATTAAGGAACAGAATGAGACCAAGGTGGCCGCAGGACAGCGGTCCATGGAGAGAGTGGATAAAGATGTGGGACACAGACCCAGATCAGGTTGTAGTTTTTAGCCACTGAGTGAAGTGATTGGATTTTTTTCCCCCAGATCCTTTGGGAAGCCACTAACAGGTTTTATGTAAAGGAGTAATTGGATATAAATTGTATTTTAAAAATATCTCTCTGGCTATCTCCATGTGGAGAATGGATTGTAAGAAAACCAGTGTGGAGAGATGGACTGAGAGAAACTGCTGGAGTCCCCGAAAGAGGCAGCTATATCTTGGCCAAGGCAATATGAGAGGTGTGGTGAGGCTGTCCCAGTAATTTGGAAGGTGGCCCATTAATGCTTATGGTCTGGCTGTAAGGAGGAGCCATCTCACTAGTTAGAAGGAGCGGACCTTAGGCAATTACTGTACCTGCCTCTGTAGGTAGGCATAGGCTTTTAAAATTCAGGACCAGAATAAAAGAAGTCTGTCAGTGTTGTAGAGTTTTAGGAAAGTGTAAATGACATTCACACATTTTCTGCATAATTCTGTGCCTTTACATGGGGTTTTCTTCATGTTTGTTGACCTTGGGAACGTATGGATCTTGAAGGCTGAAATGCCCACTTGGGTATGTGTGTTAGGGCAAATTCTCACCCCATTCAACTCAAATGGCCACTACATGTCATCTTTCCCGCTGTGGCCTTGGCACTGTCATGGTCTTACAGGAACATCTACACAATCCTCTGCATCTCTGTTACCATCTTAGAGGGGTAAGGAAAAATTATTCTTAACCTGTATGATTACTTTATTCCCCAGAAAAAAAAACAACTTGAGAATGGAAGAAAAAAACCCAGCAAAGCTTTCATAGTCATTTCCACTTAAATTTCTACCAATCATTCATTTAGTTTTAACTCCATGGTTGTGAATACAGCAACACTCAGTGCAGAAAGGGTGATTTGGGCAGCCTGAAATACTCAGTTCAGAGTATCACATATGTATGATTTGACAACCTTTGTTGAGTGATGCTCTGCTGGCTTTGAAGCAATGGCTCGATAGCCCCTTACTCCTGCCACAAGTGCTCATGGTTCCGTGTCCTTTTCTGTCTTCTCCCAGAGATGGCCACAGTTGATTAGTGGAGGGATGCAGGGAACAGCGATGCTCTTGGCTTTTCCAACTAGTAACTCATGTGAGGCCTGCAGTAATGTCTGGCTCCTCTTGATGGGCCTGGTATGGACAGATGTCAGGTCCAGAGCCAGTGCTCTGCAGATTGCAGCTGGTTATTGCCAGTGCTGCTGGCCACCTGCATCAGAAGAGGCTCTGTGATCCCACAGCCCCGTCACCCCAGCCTGGCTCCTGTCTCCTCCACATTGCCCTGCTCCCCTCCATCCTTGTTTCATAGGCACATTGCCGTACTCAGACTACCCAGGTCTAGATAGTTACACGTAGTCTTTGTAAGCTGTAGTTCCTTGTTTCTCGTACTTTCAAAATCCTCGATGACTTTAAATGCTCAGGCATAAAAGGTAACACGATAATGTTCATTCACGGACTGGAGTTCCTCACTGGAGGCGCACTGTTGGCATTTTGAGTGGAAAAACTCTGTCATTAGGTTATCTCAAGTTGTACATGACTTCAGCACCTTCATGCATTAAGTGCCAGAGGGCTCCCCAAACATTACAAACACCCACACATTAAAAATATGAAGTGGCCTCTTAGATTGAAATCTTACAAAACTTGCATATACTGCTGCAGCACTGAGCAGTGCTTAATATTCATCCCTACTTAAAAGTTTAATTTATTAGACTTATAAGAGTTAATTAAGTATAGAGTAATATTTGTGTATTATCAATGTAGTTCTTAAAAGGAAATTATTAATATTAATACATGTAGCTTACAGTGTTTAATTAAATTTGTAAATGTGATTGAACATTAATTAAAGAGGTCATTAAAAGTGATCTTTACATAATCTCCTTTTGTTAGGTGTACATATTGAAATATTTACAGGTGAAAAGAAATTTAAGACTCCCTTTTGGGGAAAATATGAGACTAAATGAAATTAAACATTAAAAATGTCAATAGCTACTGAAGCTAGGTGATGGATGTGTGAGGTTTATTCGTTACGCACTCTAGGTTTGCTTAGATTTCCCGAGTAGCCAGGCATGATGGCACATGCCTGTGATCCCAGACCTCTGGGAAGCTGAGGCAGAAGGTCAGCAATTTCTGGTTCAGCATAGATAATTCAGCGGTTCAGCATGATCTTGTCTCAAAAACTAAATGTACAAAAAAGGTCTGGGAGTGTAGCTCAATGAGCTCAGTGTGAAGGTCCTGGGTTCAATCCCCAGTATTGAAACAAACAGACAAACAAACATTTAAAAATCCCAAATAAAAAGTCCACAAAAAGTGGTTGTTTGAATTTTTTTGAAAGAACTTTGAAGTTCACAGAATTCGTTATTCCTCTCTTCTTTCTGTGTGGTAGGGCTGAAGCTTCTGAGCTATTATTTAGTAAACTCTTGGTTTTGTGTGATTCCGTGGCCACAATTCTAAGGTCTTTCCAGAGGCAAGGTTTGTGACACAATCTACAGTCTTTTAGCCACAGTGCCTCTAAGAGGCTGCCGCTTATAAAAAGTTATCTTTCTCATGAACATACTTTTCTAGTCATGTGGTAGACCCTTTGAAGGCAGAGACATTAAAAAGTAATTCTTGGCACAGCCAGCCCAAACAAACCACACAGGGGCTCTAAGTTATGGATGATACTTGTGATTTTAATTTTTATCTATCTCTGTGTCTATATGTATGTTTCCTTCCCATTATTCTCTGTTATTTCCTTCAGATTAAATACACTGTTGTTGATGGTGGTGGTATGTATTGCATTAGCCATAAATGTTGAGTTTAATGGCTTGGGCTTAGCACGAATTTGACCTCCGGGGTAACTGTACAAATCACTTGAACTTCTTAATCCTCAGTTTTTTCATTTGTAAAATGGGGGGTGGGTTATAATAGTACTAACTGCATAGCGCCCCAGGGAGGATGAATTAATATAAAAATAAGTGCTCTATTGTAAAAAATAGCCATTGTTTTCAGCCAAAAGTTATTTATTATCATATTAAAGTATTCCTTTCTAGAACTTTGAAATACCCTCTTGTCCTGGGTGCAGGCTTATCTTCTGCATCTTTTCCTACTCTTGAATGAGCTAGAATCCACATGCAGAAGAGCAGATTTACAAATGAATGGCTGCACATCCATAGTCTATAATTTATCCTAGTTTGGGAGGTAATTGAAAATCCGGAAAATCACTGCATTTAATATCACTGATTTATTTTTGGAAATCTCAGATGCAAGAGCTAATGACAGTCTTTCTAACCTAATAATTCAGAAATCCAAGTTTCTGTGTAGTTAAAAGCATCCTGGATATCTGGAAAATGTTGCAGTGTAATTATAATTGTGTAGAAATATACACGCATAAACAGTTCTGATGGGAATTATCTATAGAGCATGAATGGCCCTGTCACTCAAATAACATAGCAAATGTCACACCTTTCCCTCTTTTTATGTTTTGTAATTTTCCAAATTTTCTGTCATAACCGTTGCTCACTTTAAGATGAAAAGCCTATTAGGATGTTGTTCTTTAAACTTGTCTCTCTAAAGAACTTTGTCTTCAAAATTAATTAAAAAAACTAAATATTATTTAAAGCTTTTTGACTTCCCAGGTGTTTCAGTAGATTTACATCCTTGCTTTCTTATCACCTGTGTGGTGATTATGTTACTATTTGACAAAATCAGCACGGAGGCTGGCTTCCTTGAGAATGTAGAGTTGGATTTATGACTCAATAAATATTAAGAATAATGTATTGATGTGCTTAGCATTATATGTGTCTCAATCTTTTTATCCTTAAAATGAGAGGTCGGAACACAGCAGTGACACAGATAGGCTCCTCTAGCTATAAAATATTATTTATTTTATTTTTTTTTGTTTTTGTTTTTGTTTTTCTCCGGTACCAGGAACCGAACTCACGACCTTGCGCTTGCCAGGCAGGCGCTTTTGCCG